ATATGGTGGCGCTTGGATGTCGTTGGAGCAGACGCGGCGAGCGGGAGAGAGTACAGAGAAGCTTTACCATGAGTTTGAGCTGTGGCGTAGGCTGTAGCAGGGTGGTGACCATGTGGTAGTGCGTTGATACGAACACGTGGGGACACTTGTCACCGCTGTCCAGCCAGTGTTCAATGCTGGCAGTCAGTAACGCCACACCGTCAACCTGCAGTAGAAACGTGCACCATCACACGCACGAACACGCACGCACACACCAATTTAGGTGATAGGCACATGAACGAGGGGAATAAAATATAGGGTAGGTTACTTGGTAAGGTAGTGACTTGTAAGAGTAGGAAAAGAGAGGGAAGGAAAGCAATGGAAGGAGAGAGGGCGTGTGCGAGAGTGGGGAAGAGGGGGAGAGAGGGCCGGGAGAAAGAAAGAAAAGGGAAGAGGAGAAGGAGGAGGAGTTGAGAGGGAAAGGAAAAAGGTTAAGAGGGATGAAGAGAGAGCGAGAGAGAACTACATATTCAGAGTGAGCACGCACACGAGAGAGAGAGAGAGAGAGAGGGGGGAGAGGGGGAAGAGTAGGAGACTTATTACAGCAGAATTTTCTTAATGGAAATATATAGGGCAAGTACAGGTGCAATCATTGAGCATTACCTCACTTATCAAGGCTAATTGTTGCATAATTATTCATACTCCAACTTGCAATACCATGCAAGCAACACCCACTCAGGCTCGCAACGGTAAATATGCCTAGCTCACCATTCAAGGCTCCCCTCAGCTATCCACACACAGTAGATACACAGCTGTATATTGTGCACCGCGTGTATTCGCGTGTTTTAGATGAAAGACGAGTGCTCTGCCTACATCTCTGCAACCTTTGTCGTGCTTAAGTGCCTACACTTGTCGTGCTAGAAACCCGCCAACAAACATACATAGGCGCTTTTCTTGCACGAAGAAGTAAGACTAAGTGCCTAGGTACTTGCGACATGACTGCATTGTGTCGACTGACTCTCTGTTTGCGTTCGGTAAAAGTGAAATGAACGGTAGCAAGCTGCGGGCACACTGTCCGAAGGATCGGCACGGTATTCAACCTGTCCTGGGCCGTAAGCTAAACGCATACAACAACTATTTCCCCCCACCTTTCAAGGTTTCTTTCCTGCCCATCGCGACACGGGTAAACAGTACAGGAAGAGGAGACAAGGTCGAGTAGGAGGTATTCATAGCTGGCACGTGTGTACTGACCGCTGTCGTTCCCTTGCCGAATTCATCGATGAGTACCAGGGATCGCTCCGTGGCGCTCCTTAGACACAGCGCCATCTGAAGCCAGCAAAAGCAAACATATACAGTTGCAGCATTACAGCAAGCAGAAGGCGCTTGCAGTTGACTAATTGACATAATTATAGAAGATCTCCTCGCATTCTCAAGTTAAGACCATCAAAAAGACTTTGTTCGGTTTATACAACACGCGTATGTGCTCATGATGATACATGTCCAGATAGTGGTTGTGACAGCTTGATAAAATGTAACTGTGAGAAAGATGGAGATCTTCTGTTTTCTCGATCCACGCAGTACACGTATATCAGAAGTATGGATAATTATCGGGTATAGGAATTCCTCTATTATTCCCCTACTATTATCTACCCTTGCATGTCCTTACAATGAGACGTCCCCACAGTGGTGCCAGCTACGACATTTGCAAAGGTGTCGCTGTTACTGTTAACAGTGTTAGGAAGAGTCTTGTAGCGTGAAGAATATACAGAAGATCCCAGGCTGGCGTGGCCGAATAAACGCCAACAGATTCCCGTGTCACAACCCATTTCGGTTCTTCTGCTTATCCTCCATTTTACACTACACTCAATCCACCCTTACATCGCTATATATGACAATGCATTAATTCTGATAATGTAATATTATAGCTAGTATTGCGAAGAAAATGCTTCAATTCTGGCGACAAATGTCCCCACGCTGTGCCGCCCAGTCGCCCCCCGCACGTCACAATGGCAACTAAGGTCGCTGAAGATAAGCGTACAATGGCTCTCACCGACTAACGCAGGCATTCTAAGCGTAAACAAGACGTTCCGATTACAGACAGACTGCCTACTATATGAACCATTGGTAGACTAGAACGCGTAGACGGGTATAAGCTGTCCGAAATTAGAGCTGCTAACAATAGTGACTTTTAAATGCTCTTGATCGTATCATCAGAAGGCCGTTGGTAGTGGTGCGTGAACGCCTTTGATAGCTGAACACTGATAGCTCGATACGAGCGGACGTTACATGTCCTAGCTGACAGGTTCGATTTGCTTTTTAAGATATTTGGAGTGTGAACCAGCCAAACTGGCCTATGAGTGGCTGCGCAGTAGCCGCCACAAGCCTGTAGCGCCTACGTGCATTGAAAACTGACCATGATGCATGTGTCAGCCCCGTACAGCGCTGAAACATTACGAACGTGATCACACATGCACGTATGTACGCACGCATACGCTCATAAACGCACACACACACACACACGCACGCACGCACGCACGCACGCACGCACGCACGCAC